CAACAGTCTTAAGCCGTCCATTATGATCACATTGACAGAAAAGGGGGCGTTGTTTTGAATGTTACGTGCCATCACACCTGAACAATAGTCCACTGCAAGTATTAAAAGGTGAAACATTGCTTCCGGGCAAAAGTCGCGTCTTCTCTTTTCTTCTTTCATTTCACTTTTTCAGACTAATGATCCGATTGACAGAAAAGGTGCGCCACCATCACACCAGGTCAATATATAGGACACAACAAGATAAAGAAAATTCAACGCTTGATTTCGGTCAAAAATTAAAGTCAAGCAATAGCTTCTTCTTTGTTTTCGTAGCTGGTATGACACCACAATAACAGAAAAGGAAGCGTTGTTACAAATGAAAAAAAAGGAATAGAGCCCAATTTTAGTGCCAATGCCCCACCGTCGATCAGCTTAGATAGTGATAGTGATATTCGGTGGGTTCTGAGGCGCAGTTGGTAGAGCGTTCGGCTCACACCCAAGAGGTCGCCGGTTCGAATCCTACTCATGTCACCGATCTTGAGGACGTTAAATGAAGGTCCCGTATTTTGGGAGAGCCTCACCCTATATGTACGCACGTTAAAGAACCCATCGCACTTATCGAAAAGAGCAGGGGTCCGTCCCGGTGTGAGTGGTTCAAACCTTACAGTCCGGTCTTTCGCAGCTTGTACTTACATGTACAAAACTAGTGTGACACACTAGTTTTGTAGTTTTTTTTCTAGTTTTTTTGTAGTTTTAGCCGTAACACACTAGTTGATTTTAGCTGATCGATTCTCCCTTTAAAAAAATCCTGTTTCATTTTAGTTCAGCCTATCAAAGGATGTTAGTTTCTTTTGCCCTTTCTCCCGCTCCATGCATTTACGTCAGAGTAATATTTGATAGGGTCACTGAGCTTTTTTTGACCACGGAACTCTTGTTTATAGATACAATTATTGCTCAGATGCCATTGTTAACTCTTGCATGTCAGGATTACTTGTCTTCCAATTTATCTTCATGATATGTATGACACCACTCCGGCATAACCACAGAAAAGCAGTAAATGCTGGGACATGACCTGAGCTTCAATTTACATTTGCAATCTTAAAGGGGATATATATAGAGTAATAACGTTACCACATGCATGTAGGCTCAGAATGACATTATAACATGTAGATACAATGTACATGTCCTTGCACTGGCACACCAAACCTGAAGGCTCGTTACATGAGAAATTGACTGACTAGCCAAGTAGGCACCAAAAGTTCTATGTCATACTAGTCTGCTGGAGATAAATGTTCCTTTACTTAAAGACCATTTTTATTACCAGATCAAAATCAATTACTAGTACTAGTAGTTGCCTCGTGTGTAATGTGTTTCATTAGGGGCTAGAAACACAACATAAATTTGCCTGGGCGTACCTGATTTGGGACACCTGGCGGCTTTCCTCGTACTGTAGCAAAAAATTTCCGGATTCTTTCTAAATTATATGTGTACGTACTATTATATGAAAAGAAGAATTTATCAAGAACGGAACAGATAAACACAAAATCGTTGCCTGTGTTTGTTTTTAAACGTAATACTTGTTTTCCATGCGCACAGGAATGACATTCTTACAATTAGGTCAGCATAGCCTTGCACACACCTAAACCATTGGACTGCGCATGCCGCAATTATTCGGAGCATGCTCTACGTTTCCTCATGTTTTTACACTGGACATGTTTATGTATTCAAGTATAAAGCAGTAATGTATCTGTTCTTTGGTAATTTGGCAAGAAAAGCTGTTTTAGCGTTCGCAGTTTTGGCCTTCGGTAATTAAGAACCCGGCGTTGAGCCAAATCTTTGAGCTGCCAAATACGTGAGAGGTTAGGTGTT